GAGAGAGAGAGAGAGAGAGAGAGAGAGAGAGAGAGAGAGAGAGAGAGAGAGAGAGAGAGACAGAGGGTGGGGAAGGGGGGGAGAGTTTTGAGTTTTGGTCTGTTGAAGTCCTTTTGACTCGGAGCATCTGTGTTATTCGTTGTGATTGATTCCCGTCTTCTTGTAATTTGATCCGTCTAGCGGTGTGTGATAATACGCTGTTCATATGTGTAGAGCTCACTGTTTGTTATGAGGCGATGGCATGATTATAGGATCAACATCGTCATTATCGTATGTCTGTGTTAGGTGTCAACGTCTTTTTCGTTATCGTATGTTGCCTGTGTTAGGGCGGTCAATCAATGAGGAGGGACTGGTGTGTTGGGGTCGAGGACCCGGTTGCTAGCTACCCATTTGCTTTTGGCTTTCTGCGTTATCAGGGAATGATATCTTAGGGCCAAGGTCTTTATTGTCCACGACGCTTTGGGGTAGCTGTTTGTATATGCGTTGTCAGTTAGGTAAGTCATTTTGTAGTTTTGTGTTTGGGTAGGTTGTTCGAGTTCGTTGTTAGGGAATGTCGTTTGGGTAGGGTGTTTAGGCCAACTGAAGGATGAGAAGAGTTGGCGAGCAGGCGGTGTTCCATATGTACATACACATCCAGGTTTCCGAAGGCGAGGAGTCCTTATCTGTTTCATTTCCCTTACGGAGCGTAGAGTAGAATTAGCGATAGAGTAGTACATAGGAGTTGGTGTATTCGGTATTCTTTTGATTCCATAGTGCAGTCAGTTCTCTCTTGGTTCATCATACAACTACTGCATATTCCGTCGTGTTTGATGTTCACGTTGTTGTAACACCCATAACTGCACTCGTACGTAGCGCACATTCCTTTCCGCCGTGTTCTCTCTTTATTGTACCACCCACGACTACTGCATATTCCGCCGTATTTGATGTACACTTTGTTGTAACACCCATAACTGCACTCGTACGTCTGTCTCTTATACACATCTAGATGTGTATAAGAGACAGCTCGTACGTAGCGCACATTCCTTTCCGCCGTGTTCTCTCTTTATTGTACCACCCACGACTACTGCATATTCCGCCGTATTTGATGTACACTTTGTTGTAACACCCATAACTGCACTCGTACGTAGCGCACAKTCCTTTCCGCCGTGTTCTCTCTTTATTGTACCACCCACGACTACTGCATATCCCGCCGTATTTGACGTACACTTTGTTGCAACACCCACAACTGCACTCGTACAAAGCACAGTGACTGACTAGCTCCTATGTACAGTTGCTTGCTGCAGACCGTTGGGATCGGTTCCAGCTCGCGTTCTTTTTGTATTTGAACACAGACGGGTGGTTCGATCTTTGTCCAATCAAAGTCATATCTTCGGGAGAGTGGTCGTCGCTGAGCCCTCTAAGCTTCTGCAGAGCATTCTGGTCACCACCTACACATCTTAACGATCGAAATGGGGAATGTCAGGCGTGTGCCGCAGCGATATGTAATGGTCTTCCTCATGTTCGTCGCAACAAACGTTTGCTATATTGAACGAGTCGGGTTCCCGATCGTGTACACACCTATAGCAAAAGACAGCGATGTGGATCCTGTGACGAAGGGCTGGGTTCTGTCCGCCTTTTACTATGGATACGCGAGCTCACAGATTCCGGGAGGTTGGGCTGCAGCATACCTTGGAGGTAGGCATATCCTGCTGTTGTCATTTCTTCTCTGGTCGGTAGCAGCGGTGATTATGCCGGTGAGCTCCGTGTCGGTCGCATCGATGGTTACGGCCCGGCTGTTGATCGGTTTGTCACAGGGTTTCATATTTCCTGCCATTCACACCATTCTTGCGCACTGGATTCCACCACATGAACGTTCGCGTGCAGTCTCGTTGACGATGTCGGGAATGTACTTAGGTGCCGCAGCAGGAATGCAGTATCTGCCGGGCTTCGTGGCATCTTCCGGCCCTAGAATGGTATTCAATGTGATAGCCTTGATGGGATTATGGTGGTCAGTTTTATGGTGGTGGTATGCAACAGACCCGCCAGGCGGTGGCGATCTGTTGGCGACCCGTCATAGTGGGAAATGGATTCCCTCGGCATCGACCGTAGATGCTGCAATTGGACGTAGCAGCAGGATGTCTGAGCATGCTGGGAATCGGCGGGTAGCCGTTCTTGAGCGCATTGAGCAACAACCGTCGTCTATGAGCCCTGTGTCCCAGCCGCTGCCGCGCAAGAAGACAGACGGCAATGTCGACGAAATTATGCTCAAACGGACCGTCCCTGAACGGCAACCCTCAACAGAGATTCCATGGTCTAAGATGCTTTGGAGTTTGCCTGTCTGGGCCATTGTAGTCAACAACTTCACTTTCCACTACGTTCTGTACGTGCTGATGAATTGGCTGCCAACGTACTTCGACCAGGTGCTTGGCGTTGCACTGGCAAGTGTCGGCGCAGCCAAGATGGTACCCTATTTTCTCATGTTTGTGTTCAACAACTTGGGGGGTTGGGCTGGCGATTACTGTATTACGCGGCATCGAATGACGGTGACGAAAGCCCGGAAGTTGATCAACTCGGTCGGGTTCGCAGCCGCAGCGGTAATGCTGATAGCGATGCCGGTGTTCCGCACTGTTGCAGGAGCCGTCTCTTGCGCATCGGTTGTCCTTGGAGCTTCCGCCTTTGCGCGTGGCGGGTTTGCCGTCAACCACATGGATATTGCGCCACGCTATGCTGGCGTTGTCATGGGGGTGTCAAACACTGCAGGCACAGCTGCCGGTGTCGTCGGTGTTTCCGCCACAGGGTTTATCTTGAAAATGGCTTCGTCAATGGCCTCGACAAATGGGAAATTGAAGCTGGAGGTCGGAGAAAGTGGGGAAGAAACTATGATCAACAGCTCTCTGTGGTCTGGGGATATGCTAGGCTGGGCCCTTGCCTTTTGGTCTCCTGCAGTTCTGTCTGTGCTGAGTGCTCTGATTTTTTGTATTTGTGGCACTGGCGAGAAGGTATTCGACTAGAAGCGATCTTTCGATCCATTCAAGAAAACACTTTGACTAGGAAGGACCACCCGAGCCGCTCCAGTGTTTTTCCGTCCCAGAAGAAGTTTGTGAGCAGCTGGAACTGATACCGACCTTCTAGATGAAGGACGATAAGGGAAGCTTTTCACAGGCAAGGCAGGTTTCACCGTTGACGCAACATTTCTCACCGCCGCTGATAACCAGCCGATCTTAGTGCACCGTGAGACACGCGTTGCCTTGGAGGCCTGACGAAGCAAAAGAAAGCGTTCCAAAAAAACAGCAGAATATACGATAAAAAACACACTGATTTGCCGCCCAGAGCTGCGGATGATTGAGATTCCGGAGTCCCCACATGGTAAAGAGAGTTTTACTGTTACGCCATTTCAAAAAAGTAGGAAGGAAAAAAAAAAAAGTAGTCAGAGACGGACATCTTGGCTCCTTTTTTGGTGAACTGTTGGAATTCAAGATCTCTCCTTGCAGTTGTGCTCTGTGGCACACGTTGGCGGGTAGATTGACATATACCGCCTTGCCGCCATGTCTGACCCTTCAGGCAACTCCCCCTACCTCCCCAACACCCCCCCATCATTTGCAGAGAATCTCTCTCTCTCTCTCTCTCTCTCTCTCTCTCTCTCTCTCTCTCTCTCTCT